CCGTTGACTTCAATAAGACACGCAACAGTGCTCGGCATGTTTGTAGAATCCACTTAGTGGCCATAATTCCTTTGATTACTGTACTAATCGGAGTATTTTTACGTTTACAAAGAGATAGCATTTAAAGCTAAGTTGTTCTTGTTCTGACTATGACTTTGACATAGACTCTAAGTCGTCAGTAATGTATTTACAGTACAGATAAAATATCTGTGATCTATATTGAATTCTACAAAATTTTGACCAGTAGTCCATCAGAAATATGTTAGTTAAATGCTGTTAAATGTCTATGGGGGAAAACCATAAGACTCATAAGATTCCTAGATTGTTTCCTCACTATCCAGAAACTCGAAGTGATGTCCAGTTTGAAGGAAACGGATACCGGATTGAACCTTCGTTGGATTTATAATGAGCTAAAGCACGCTTAGCTCGGACAGAAAAAGAAATAAAGCTTGGGAGGTTATGTCATTGCGTTAGAGAACGTTATAATCAGGCTGTGGCTGAAAAGTGATGTCATACGAGTCTATATCTACCACATGCTCAGTTCCTCCTGGAAAAGACTGGATAACAATTATGTTGTGAGGACAGACGACGGATGAATTCGAGTAGGCTCTTAGAATCGCAGCAAGACCCGAAGCTATTCCATCCAATCATCTTTAGGAAGAATATTCCAAGATCTCTACGTGTAGCCCTCTTATTGGACAAATGGTAAAACCCCCTGTATGCGGATTGGATGACTATATTAATGATCTCGTTTTTAGTAAAAACTACAAATATCTGAAAGTTTTGTACTACGTTTGACACTGTTTAGAACAGCATTTGTTCTCACTCGTCTTCTGACTCCTCATTCGCGATTTGGAGTTTCATACGGAATTTCGGAGACTGTTTCGATTAATGTGTTAGATGCCGATTTACATTAAAAAATCCGATTCAGTAATGTGATGGTAAAGCCAAGGCTACTATTGTTCATTATGCCTTGTCCGAACCAGAAGAAAGCTATCGTAAGGAGTTAGTGCTTCTCGAGGAAGCGTTCAATCAGAAGTATATCCTAGCTCATGCATTTATTGATTAGATGTTGATTATTACTGGTATTAAGTGGACTAATTCAGATAATTTATAAGACTTCCTCGTGGGATGCAGGTAGGTGAGACATGTATCCAGTCTGAATTCTACAAATAATATCGAGAGCATGTTTTTGAAACTCCTAGTACACCAACACAAAGAGAATGGGTGAAAGTTGTATGAAAAATTCTTAATACTATGAGACAACAAATATTTAAGAACATTTGTGAACTTGTGAAAGAGCAATCGGATGTTGCTAATACCATATAAGGATTACTTGCCAGTGGATATCCCTGTGATCTCAACCAAATTCAGTCGGTTGTTGTTGCTAAGAGGAAACGTGACTCAGAGTATGCGACGACTGTGTCGTTCACCAGCACGACTGTACCTGATGTCTCTTCACATGTAGGACGAAACATTCCTGGATTGTCATGTTTATTATGTACCGAAAACCATCTCTTAGACCAATAAGGAAGGTCTGCAGATAATTACATTAATGAAAGGATAGAGTTTGTACTAAGGAAGTTGTGAATTGTCTGTCTGAAGTCGAACCACATAGCAAGAAGCTGCCAAGCACCAAGGCCATGTACCATCGAAGGATATGACTGAAGACACCAGTTCTTATTACGTAGGAAACGAAAAGAGCAGAGAGAAAATAATAGTAATATCCACATCAATACCTAACTCTGTACGGAGGAAATCGCTAAGCGTGTAAAAAGACAAGTAAAATTTGAAATAGTGCCTGTATTGATGGAAAGATAGAGAGAAAGGGCACTACAAACTTGCGGTTTCATGGATATCAGCCCAGACACCTCAATTACTACAGAGGATTTACCTAGAAGTTTGGTTTTAGAGAGAGAGATCAAGGCAATTTTATTGAAAACGCTGGATACGGTTTACATTTTGTTATAAAGAGGTCTATCTAGAAGTTTCCTTCTTACCTGCGTCACGTAGGAAGTTACCATGTGGAATTACAATCTACTTCATTATCAGTACTTCTCGAATAATAGGCTGATCCTAAAATTGTAGATTTTTCATGATATAACTGCCTAATCTATAAGATCTTTATTGAAAGTCACATCATCGTCTGCACCAACGCATTGCATCATAACAATCACTAACACCTGATGTAACAAGCTAAAGCTAGAGATAGGACGATATATTTAATATGAATAAAAGATATAAGGTAACATCCAACAGGGCTGAGCCATGCCATCCGATCAACCTAAATCAATTCAATTCCTTCTTTCCGCCTTTTCCACAATTGGATTTTGCTCTGCGTTAAATATTGAACATCTATTTTCCCAGTTGTCTTGTGTTCAGCCTACCTAATAATAGAAAACCAGCAATGAGTTGACTAAATTCTTTGAGAAACCGGCTTATCCGTGGGCAGATATTACACAAGGAGTATAGTAGTTTGATGGCACAATATGTTGAGCAGACCTACGCCGAGAAGTTTACAGAGAACTGCATTAGGTGTCGGGATCGGCAAATACCACACCACCTCATCTTTTATCCGAAAAAGCCTAGTAAGCTGTACGGCACAATACCCCGGGACGTCCCCAAGCCAAAGCTTGTATTATGGACCAAATTTAGTCAATAATCTGGTAGATGTCGGGAGCGCGCAACAGGTCCCACGGTAGATATTGAAGTAGTGTTTCATCAGGTGATTGTCCCACCACAGGATCTAGATGTCCCTTTTAGTGATCACATGGTGACAGAAGAACTGAACCAGAAACCTATAGGATGAAAGTAGATTTGTTTGAAGCGACCTACTCACCAAGCTGCGCTACGTTTGCTCTACACAGGTCTATCTTAGATAACACGGCTAAGTTTCACGAGTGTATAATACAGAGAGCAAAGGAACAATTCTACGTTGACGATTTCCTGACCAGTGTTGATGCATTAGAAGCTAAATTAATATATCCTCAATTGAAGAAAATCTATCGTATAGATGGCTTTTATCTGACCGAATGGGCCAGCAGCATCTTTGAATTAATGAAGCTTACCCCAGATAAAGAAACAGACATCTCTTTATCTATGTAAAGAAAAGAAAGGGCTCTAGAAGTAGAGTGCAATGTCCGGACGAATAAGATCTGCTTCAGAGTGCGCGAATCCGAAACGACCCCTACCAGTAGTGTCATTTTGTGATACGTAGCTCCTATATTCCACCCGGTCCGGTTTATAGCACTAGATGTTATACCGGCTAAATTAATATTACAGCATATTATCTGGCTATTCAGATTCATAACCTTGCCGATGCCTGTTGTGGCGTACACTCGTCTTGAAGATGTTTCGCATCAAGTTCACTGTTCCCTTCTATTAGCTTAATCCAGGATTGCCTCACTGAAACCTACCACTATTTCTAGCAAGAAATTAACAACTGCCGTACTGTGTACTAAGATTAGAAAACGCGTGGAACAACAATTGTGTGTCCCTATCTCTTTTTTCACTTAATGGACGGATTCGTTAATCGTACTCTATTGCATAGGGAACGCGACCATAAGGTTTGAAAGCGACAGATCATCAATGACTCACGAACTGTTAATGGAGACATGCTAAAAGTAAACAGAACTCCAAGGATCATTCTTCGTGTTGATTGTCATTAGACGATAGTATTAAACCAAATGAGTGGTTCCGCGAGACTAAAATTTAGAACGAGAATGCCGGGGCGAATTCAGGCGAGGAGAACCTTGTTTCACTCCATTTATTTCGAGGAGAGCTACGCGAAACATCCACGGAGAGTTATTCAGACCTGGTTCAAAATACTGAGATTTGCTCTGTAAATGGTTTGTTCACAATATGATAATGAAATTGGACTGAAGACCATTAATTCTTGGCGGATGGAGATTGGAATATAGTGCGAAACAAAATATAATGAAATTAGTTCGAACTATCGCATTTCCCAGAGATGGAGACGCTTAAGTGCACACAACATAAACACGAGCACGATAAAACACGTGAGACGCAAGAAAGACAGAAGTAGATGAACCTGTTACGAATAAGAAAATGACAATCTCCCTAATCTCTGCTGGTAAGGTAATGAGAAGAACGGTTGCGCGATAAACTTAACCATTCCGCAGATCACGTCATCCGAGTGGTGGACCTCAGTTATCGTGCTCGTCATTCGAGAGCAAACATCTACATATCCTTCCTAGTAATCATTTTGTTACCGACTAGATTGTAACCCATCATCACTTACAGAACGCGCATTCTGTTACTACCCACACCTTAAATGGTCCCTGTGAAGATTTCTGGACCACTAAAGCCTAGGCTATTATCCGAAGAGTCCTAAGGTGGTGCTTCCTATACAATAATAATTTATCTTCAGATAACAATGTTACATGAGACATACTAGTCTATGGGAATCTGAAACCGATTCACGACGTTCTAAGAGCTACGCCCCCCCCCCAACTGGTTAGATGAAAACTCAAGAGTGGACAAGAAGGCATATTGGGCTACTGAATTAAATGCACAAATACTCATTTATATATATATGCAACTCTACCATCGAGGGAACCAACCCACTTCTTAGCCAGTGGAGTGCAATTGTCCTTCGGGTTACTTCGTATTACCATCGATTGGCCTTCTCATCTGCCTATTTCTGATCGGCTTACCATATCAGTGTCAGTAACCTGATATTAGATGTCGTACAGCCACAAATCATTGAGTACGTCGTCATGTGATAGGACACTATCTTTCAATATTTATTCCAAAGTCTTTCGACTTCTCTTTAGGTGGAATTTTTGGTTTGTGCAAAAATCGACATATTTGGTAACCACTGAAAGAATATAGGTTGCCTCAGTAGGATGTTTTGGTTACTCATGAAAAATTCTCAACACATACGGGAAAGTTATCCAGGTGACCGCAAGGAATTAACATCGCAAAACACACTAATATTGCGTTAGTAGAACACACAGGTTACTAAAAAGTGCTAACAATCATACAAAAGTAAGATGATATATTTATACTCTCGTCATCAATTTTCATCTAACAAACTTGAATCAAAGCGAACTACACGACAATCAAGTGATTTTAAGTTGATAAGTACGAAAGAGAAAGTCGAATCAAAACGTGGTACGGATACCAATAAGCAACCACAGTTATTTTTATCTATCTCCTCACTCCACTTTAAGCGGGCACGTCGCCAAGATGGCCGATCTTCAGATTGACAACCAGCTATGTATATGTCAGGATAGTCAGGACTAAAGTTTTGAGCAGATGAAGTGGAAGATGAACGGAGAAGAAGTGGATCGACATTGGTCATCGGATACCCCCCCAGAGTATCAGGACAAGTAGGAGCTAAGTGACCCCACAGTAAAGTAGCTTCCATCCTGTCACAAGCATTCTCTAGTTTTGTATATCTGACAAAATTTATAATAAAAAATATTAATGCGGTAAATGACAAAATACAATTTTCATGGTTTAAGAATGTAAACAATGAACTATCTACTATATAAGAAACAGTCTAGTTGAGATGCGAATAATTGCCTTCTGAGCTACGTTATATAACAATAGTATGTTGTTTAAAGCATAATTCTTTAGATTGTTTTGTCCCAACATAGTTTTTACATGAAAACTATAATATCAACCAATCTCATTTGTTTAAAAGATAAAGTTAGGTTATTTTATATAGAAAGGCATATTAGTTGGTAATCTATATATACTTTGTTAAATATTGGATATTTAGCATTCCAAGCATCACTCACATATTGAATATGTTTGCTAAATTTACTCAATAATTGTATCCGATTTTAGAATTATTAAACTTTGGATAACCGAATGTATTAAGTGGATCAAAAGAGAAAACAATCAACGGAATCGCCTTTTTAGTTTGTAGCTTTAGTCCCAATAGCATTCAAAATGCTCTGTAATCATTATATATATACCCCAAACACTAATCCTCGACCTAAATAAAAGAATAGTACTCACCTTAATTCTGAAGGTAAGTTTGATCAACTGTACGAAATTGCAGCGACGATAGTAAGGATAGATTTTTAAATCAAATAAGTCAAAGTGAATAAACTGAATTACGATTGACCAGTTGACAACGTACAAATTCGACTGAAAAGTATGACCGTAATAGTTACACGAACGTACAAAGAAAACTTTCTCTGTTCACTAGTATAACTGGGAGGTGTAAATATTTGCTATTTTGGAAAACGAATCCTATATAATTTCCATAATTAAGATAATCTTCATGCAACTGACTTTGAGTCATAATTTTGAGATGCGGGTTAATGATCTGACCTAGCTGGCCAAACTAAGGTAGGTGAGTCTTCAACCTGTGACTCTGTAGTTGAAAAACACATGTTTTATCCGCTAAACCACTGTTTCACAAGTACCAACTAGGTTCAGAATTCGTTTAATTCAGTGACCAGACGAGAGTCAGTTTTTAATGAAGTACAGTACGTTATTAAGTTAACTTGGTAATCAAGCACAAGTCCATGTGCCTCCTTTTACCCACACTTTTTTTATGAGCTGAGGGTAATACATGGCAACCCAAAACAAGGTACATGAAACTGAGTTGAAAATTAGTCTGACAATTGAAAACACAGTACGTTAGGAACTGGATCAAAGCTTTACTTAATTAAGTCTTAACTAACTAGCCTGGAGGTTTAAAAATAATCGAGGAAACTTGTGTCGCACTCCTGTAGAATTAACATTACTTAAATGGGAATCTAGCTCAAAGACCGATGGATAGAAATCATCATCTCTTTCTGTTAAACTGTCTTAAAATTCAACACGATTGCCAACGAATCACCTGTCATATTTCCCAAACATACCACTTTTATTATTTTTTAAAATTTCATTTCACCTTACAACCACTTCAAACATTGTGAATTAGGTCTATGCAAAATTTGAATAAACCAGTAATTCATTCTGTAATCTGCACTGGACTAGGCTATAAATGGATAATATTAGAAAAAAAGAAAACGACTGGACTGTAAACTTTCAGTGAGGTTTTTACAGTATTTTTTACGTAATGTAAAAGTGCTAAGAGGACAATATTGATGCGTAGCAGAAGGTATTACTTAGAAATGATACATAAGTTTATGAGGTTATGAAACCTACAAAAGTGAAAACACGAATCAGCGTCTCATTATTATTATTTATTCAATATTATATTTTGGTACAATATAGAATTCTTAGTACAGGATATTTCAACAAGTTACTTGCGCAAAAAACAGTAACAAATACAAAAAAATGAGAAAAGGTTTTTAAAAGAACAAAGACAAAAAAACAACGAAAAACTGTACAAATTTTCAAATTAGAGACTTGTTAACAATCCAGGTTATTGACTAGGTTAACTCTAACAACCTGTTCGTCACAGAGTATATTTGCTAGGTAAGGTATTATAGAACTTTTACTTGAGTGCATGGATTTTAATGTAATTACGTCTCGTTCTACCAGAAGATATGCAAGGAGAACGATAAGAGTGAAGGGGATGGCTAGTATCTGATAAAATAACACCTGCCAGGAGTTTACATGATTTTAAATGTCTATCCACAACCATATTAATTATGACCTCGAAAGATTCACCACACATCTTGCTAACTGTCTTCAGCACTCTCCACAATACAGCAAAGTCTTTTCTCAAAAGCCCGGAAAAGAATAATGGAGAACAGTAAAGAATAATAGGTAATATGCAAGAATTGACAAATTGTAAGAGTAAATGACGAGTAATCCCAAGAGCATGCAATCTCTTTATGTAGTAAGTCAGACGGAAAAACAGTTGAGACGTCTAATCTCTAGGTTTATCAGACCATTTAGCTAACGAACTTCATTAAAGTTCTTCTCCTTGTACAATCTTTCTTTCATCCTCCGTAGTCGTTTTAGTTGTGAAGATGTAAGTCGATTGAAACTTACAAAAATGGTTTCAGTGGGACAACAAATATCAAAACAGAATTTAAGGTAACAAGTGATAACATCAGTAGTGTTTTCCAGTGAGCCATCTGTAAATAATTCCCAATTAGTCGTATGAAACATTTTTTTCAGATTTCGGATATTTCCTTCAGAGTGATTTCTATATTTGACTTTCTTGGTTTGATGTAAGAGTGTACTCTTCCCATGTTTTCCATATACTTTAGGTAGAACATGAATTATACAGTGATCCGAGCTAGACAATGGAGCACGTTTACGAGTCGCATATATACCCACATCATTAATGAAGACGAAGTCTAAATGAAAATCCAAACGGGTAGGAAAATCTACTACATTTTGGTAACCTAGTGACGTAAGGAAGCTGCAGTCACATGAATTGAAATCACCACATACAACTGAAAGTGAATCACTGAAGACAGTAACAGCGAACTCAGTGAATTCATCAGCGAAAACAGATAGTGAAGATGATCTGCAATCTGGAGTCACGTAGATGTTGGTAACATAAACATATTTGTATTTATTCAGATGTTTTGGACGACATCTTAGAGTTAGACAGTCGATAAAGTCATTTGAAAACTTAAAACACACAAACGAAGATTGACACCAGTTTATGTTTACAAACGTAGCTACACCGCCACCACACCACTTTTTATTGTTTGATCGATCCTGACGATAAATTTTGAAATCACGTAGTGATACTAGACAGTCATCCTGTAAATCATTTAACCAAGATTCTTGAATTGTGATGACACCACAATTACGTTACATATTTTGACTTAGTAGGAATTGCAGATAGTCCACTTTGTTGATTAGTGATCGGCAGTTAGAATTTAGCAGCTCGGGAATCGACATACAATTGATGTTCATTCTTTTTAGCGCATATTGCCAACCACCACGATGTCTTTTGTGCAGCGAAAGGTCGTAGGCAACGCGATTAATGGACATAGTTATAAGTTAAAACAAATAAAATACAGATAACTTGTCGAAATAATCAGATGGCAGAAACAGGTAGCCCAGATATTCAAGCAATGGTTCGTGTCATTTCAGGTATTTAGATATACTATGACAAAAACTAATTGTCCAGTATATTGTAAGGGACTCATGTCTTTCTAACTATTTTCAAAATAAAAAAGGTATAATTAGAAAACATTCATTATAATAACACCAACAATTGTTGACACAGGATCACCAATTAAAAACCCTTATTTTCTGTACACAAAAGACAAATATATCAGTACATAGACTGAACAACAAATTTACTCAAATAACAGAGTTTTGTTATTACAACGAAATAAAGAATAGAGTTCAGTTGTAGAAAGAAATGATTTTACTCAAAATCATAATTATATCACTATAATTGAGTAGTGTAATGGGCGAAACGAACATACATAACTCTCAAAGAATCTATTATAACACGCAACAGTATAAAACCTAGATTGATTCCAAGTTTTAACCTTTATTTAACAAAATACTTAAAGGATAAGAGAATATAAGACTGGAAATAATTTATGGGTCTGAATTATAAAAAAATTATTGTCCAGTTGACAGATATGAAGAAAAACGACAAACATAAACGTCACAACAATAAAAACTGAATACTAATGAATAAAACTTGTTTAAGGGTAATAATAACCGATTACAAAACACTACTTAAAAAGTCAATAGTAATGATAAAAAAAATTTAAAAAAATCGAGACAGACTACAAAAGGGAATTAGGGCCAAACAAGGATGAGAGGTTGGACGTATCGCTTTTGCACGCAAAGTTCGGGCTTGAGTTGGTGGATTGCCAATGCTTTAGCAATGCATAAGATTTTGATTCGACCTCTCTTCAATCCAATTCCTTTGACGTGTAGACTATTTTAAAAGAAAACTCATTTGGAGCAATGTGTCCATAGTTAATAAATGCTCCTGTATTGAACTGGTAATTATTTTGCATTCTTCTTTTAAAAGTCATATCGGGTAGTGCTCTGAGATGCGTTTGGAAAGTGATCGTTTTGTGAGGCCAATGTAATCTGCTCCACATAAGTAAGTAAATTTATAGAGGCACATTGATGTGGTGCAAGAAGAAAGTTTATCTTTAACACATCCATGAATAGTAGACCGGCTTGAGAAAGCAATTCATTTATTATTACCTTTAAACAAGTTTTCTTCATTATTATTACGTTTATGTTTGTTCTTTTTCTTCATATCTGTCAATTGGAAAATTATTTTCCATCATTTAGACCCGTAAATTATTTCAAGCCTAAGTAAGGAGGTTGACTATATCAGCCATTTTTTGAAAATATATGGAATAAAAACTACTAATATCACTGATAATTAAATAATTGTTTTTTACACGTATATATGAATAGTAGTGTGTTATACAACTGAACAGGAAAGTCTTACCTATATAACTCATTTACACCCTGACCAGAAGTAGCCAGAATATTTCGATTTCTCAACATAAAACTATAAGGATTTGTTCGACCACATAAACTTCCAGTGCCAACACCACCAGAACGGGAAACGGCACAAGGTAATGCGGCTGAATGAATCGGTTGTTGTGGCATGAGGACTGAAGTAGGATCAGATGGTCCCGGCAACAAATCTATCGATATACCATTAAAATCAGTGCCATTATCTTTACAACCTGATCCTATAGGGAGACTGGCTAACCACTGATCAAAACGAGCCATAGCGGTTACAGTTTCTGCATCGGCATTACGAGTTAAGTAGCGGGCCTGAATAGAAAGACAATTAACTCAAAAACTAACACATACAAAAATGACTAGACTTCAATTCTTTTTAAGCCTTTACGATTTCCAAAACAAGGAAAATTGGTCGGTATTTATTCAGTACTGTGTGACTTGTACTACCATACTGGCAGTAATTACACTAGCGAAAACAGAAAATGGAGGATGGGCAATTGTTATCAAGAAAATCCCTTGGAAAAACCCATAAAAACCAAAGATATGTTTTTAGCATATCACCTTTTATCAGCTAAGAACTTTTAAACATCACGTAAAGCATGTTATGATTGAGATAATATGCTGAAAATCAATGGTTAAATAATGTTTGTCAACCCCATTATACATTTACATAAAATGTTTTCAAACTATAACCGTGTACAAAGATTATAGTAATCTACGAGTCAGGATTTGAATGTGACCAACTTGGTTTCGTGCGCTGTTACGGGTATGAGGGCTGATATCACTTCCCGGCTGCCCACACCGTGGAAGGGTATTTCTTGAGGAACCTGAAAATGAAATTGGATTAGTGTTGATCTTAACGACCTGGGAGCGTGACCGCAGAGCCCAAGGGACAACTGCTTGAGGCCGGTCGCGCACGGCCCTTTTGTGAAAATTTTTAATGAGTTAGCTCCGTTCTTCAAAGGGCATTACCGCCGGAGACGGAAATCCGTGAGGTAAGGTGAGGCGTGACATTTTTAGGGTCGACCTTTTCTAACCCCACCCCTCCTTGTGGGAAGGCAGCATCGCTGCAGATGCTGGTTGTCCGAGGGAAAAACCTTACTGCCGTCACAGCCCTCTACAGTCAGCAGTACGACTTCGCCCTCAGACCTTGAGTTGCTGCTTTTAGTCTTACCGTTCTCCAATCGACCTTCCTGACATGGTAGAATCTACAGGAACGTATGTTCCAGCCAATATAGCTCGGTTGAGTCATCACGATAGGCAAGCCCGACCACTGCGTCAAGGTAGCAGCTTCGGTCGGGTAATTTGCGAGTGCTTTCTGTTAGGTATCTGAAGTGCTCACAAAATAATTCTTTGTAAAACTTTCTAATCTGTGAGTGCTTTAAATAGAAAGTTTTACAAAGAATTATTTTGTGAGCACTTCAGATACCTAACAGAAAAAGTATATTATCTTCGAACTTTCATAGACTTGAGTAGTTGGAAAAAGTGCGGCCTAAATAAATCCCAAGAACTATGATTTCCTGAAATCTGATAATTATTACCATAAGGTTTGTCAGATTCATTGAGGTAGTTAAGGTTCATAATTTGCATCATGGACTGATTATTTTGTGAACAACCATTGAAAACTAGAAAACATTAGACAGCTGTTTCGTCCTAAAATGGAAATCCACATCGATAACCATTCACGACACCACTGGAGGTCGAACCAAGGGCCTTCAAGTCCCTAGTTGAGAGTCTAATATTTAAACCATTGAGATGCAATCTAATAGTTTACATGCCTAACTTCAATTGATTCGCGATATTGTTCAATTTTAAGAGTCCCGGTGAGAAGTCGTGATCAGTTGAGTTCAAACATATCGAAAGAGAAAGTTGCTTATCGATTATAGAAAAGTTGCATAGTTACTAGAGTTAGGCTTGCAAACTATTGGACGCCGGCTCAGTGACTGAGGTTAGGCACTTGCCGTAAGATCTGGAGGTCCCCAGTGAAATCGCGGATGCGCACTGCTAAAGAGTTCCATATCAGAGTGTAAAAGCTGTACGAGGCTTCCTGGTTTTAAATGGCCGTCTAATATCGGTCCTATGCTAATTATTAAGTCTCAATATACACGTTTACAAGATACCTTGTAAAATGTGATCGATAGACGAACTCACCAATAATAAAGGGAAACGCCCACCACCACATTAACTCCCTTTGACCTTGTACTACTGTATCTCTTTACTAACCAATCATAGTTTGATGTTCATTGTAAAGCAGTATTTGCTTGTTGACTCATTTTTCCTATTCTCTGGCTACTGTTCGGTATGTTATTTGTCTCTGTTTTTCCCTGTATTAATAGACCGTACAGTTTGTTTGTACACTAACAATAATAATTTATGTTTTAGAAACAGATAAAGTTTATCTAGCCAAATAGCTTGCTTGTTCTGACTTTGGCCAAATCATGACTCTGCATTCGACTGTCTAGAGAATAGCTCAGAATTAAACCTGTAGGAAATTGCTCCCTACATACCTGGTTAACATTGTTTTGATAATCGATTATGCACTAGTGCATATCGAATTCTGTTTCATATTTTTTGATAAATACATATAGATTTTTTAATTTTGAAATCCCATCCCAACCATTTGAGTATATATTGTGTTATTTATGCTACAAGGATAAAAGATTCCTGACTCCAAGCTAGCTGTACTATCAGTCTTTAATGATGAGTACACTGAATTTGGTGCTATTATTTCAAAAGTAATCCACACTTTAAAATTCTTGAACTCGTAAATATTTCGACTTGAATGACTTGTAAATAAGGTACTTCATAACAAATGAAAGTAAATGACTTTTTAAACTTACACGCTGTGTAAGACGTACAGCTGGGGTGCACTTATCACCATCATTATCTATACTTGATTTTGATGCTTGAATTGAATCACCCAAAATCAGAAGATGTATCAAACCAGAATCAGTGTGTGACTCTGATGAACCATGGAAGTCTCCAGCACAACGTATCCAATCGGCAAGAAGTTGAAGAGCTATTGAATGTCCCGGTTTTACTTGACCACTACCTGCAAAACCTAAGGCACTGACAACACCAACCCAAGGTCCAGAGTTGCGAAAATCTGTTGTGTTAACGTCAATATGGGAAATTTCTTGAACATAAATAGGTTTTTCAGGTTGAGGTTCTAAGAACAACATGTCCTCAACGTAGAAAGAACCTGTGATTATTAACAAAAATGGTATTTTCAGTGATTTTAAATTATTTTGAAATCAAATTACATTATGCTGTGAGTTGATATTTCTTAAGAAAACAAAGCTGAGTAAACTATTTTTATTGAAATGTATTAAATGAAATGTTTGCATTATCTTGCTACAAATACAGTGAACTGAAAACAGAAGTTATTGTTGGGAAATTTGAGACAGTTAAGGACTCGTGTAATCGAACTCCAATCCATCTACAGATTTAATAGGTAACTGGGTAAAAATTTCAGATCTCGGAATATTTGTAGCCCATACACTATGTAAATAGTACACGACCACCAAATAATCCATTGTTTTGTAATTAGATACTAAGCACTGGTATCAATCAACCTAAGATTAAGAAACAATTGACTTAGGTGGTAAATTATTAATAATATTGAATGGATATAAGTGTAACTCCCAACCAACATTTATCTTATATCACTCACGCTAATGCTGTCCGAACTTTTTTACTACTTTTATTGAGATGACAAAAGACGAAGAGGGTTACGTGGGTGTATTCCTAATATTTATTGACCATTTCATCTAACAAGCAGAAGCACAGTGCATAAAAAGGCTTGTTGACGAGAGGAGATTTACATCATTCTATTATGCCACAAATGTTACTCTTTTCTAGTACTTTCTAAAATAGGTGTTAAAAACCCGAGTACGCTGTGAAAGACACAGTGCTATCTAGTTCTCATGTACACGAAGCATGTATTGCTACAATTACGTTCACAGACGAAACTCGCGAATGATCTGATGTATGACTTCCAATTGTTGCGACATGGGTGGACGGTTTTGTAAATGAAGGGAGTTTTTAGCAGCTGTTACAACTTAGCCACTATTTTTGGAGCTTCATTACTGATGTTTATACTTCATTATACATAGGATGGAATTGTTTCAGAAATGAATTTCTCAGGGTACGGTTTTCATTTCTGTTTAGGATGTCATGTTCTGTGATTCAATAGCAGAACTATTAGACTTTGATCCATAAAAACAGACTTCGTACTAAAATATTATCTTAAACTTCAGTCAAAATTTAAAAAATAAATGAAACGATGGGTAGGAATTAAGCCTAATAGTCACATCCACTTCAACGGTACGTAACCTACAAAACTGATATTCTCCAGCCGTTCATGAGATTTAAGCATGTCATTTTACTAAAAAAACCTATTACTTTGGATGATGGTCGTGTTTTTGATCTTACATCATTCACGAGTTTGTGCGAACGATTCAGATTCGTGAGCAGTTATCACTCAATCATATTGTATTAATGCATCTCGTTTATCGATCATCCCTCTTTTATAACAAGATGTATTTAACACAAACAGTAATATGTTCTCCATCTAGGAGTTTTAGATTTACCGGAACGACTCAACTGAAGTCAATTCAATCAAAAGACTGTCTTAGGGTCTCGGAATATTTATAGATGAATATGCATAACTACTAAGTAGTTCCAAAAACAAATAATAATCGGTAAATGTTAAACTCAAATTCAAAGAAATGAACACATCAGCAGTTGAATTTCAACGCATACATGTACAAAAATGATTGGTTCATAGTGGCCGGAAAGATAAAAATTGTGTCGATCAATAAGACACTTTACGATTGATTAGTAAAATACAAGCGAAGGAATAAATTCTAGTTACTTATAAACAATGCAGTTATAATACACAGATTTGAAGAACATTCACTTATGTTCCATGGCATTCTGAAGTATTTCGAAAATAAAATTCACTATAAATTAATATACTCACACTACATAAGCAAACTGAATTACGCGAAATCACTTGTTTCATTGAAGAAATTACATACACTTTCGCCTTCGCAAAATAGTTATTTACAATATGTAAAGTATGAGTATGATTAATTTCTACAAATGTTTAATAATGAAATAACCTAAATAAAAAGTAAATTATACATATTGTCAGCTGATTACTGCTGATACTCATCAAAGCTGTAAGAGTTGAAGAACATTTTTGTAGCTCAACGTAAAACGCTAATATAAGTGAAATATTTATACTAGGAATGAAGCTCGATTTTGATAACACACTTCCTGAATATGTATGATTACGAATCTTAATGTACAACCTGTTTTTTGAATCTTAGGGCGACAATAAAGAAATAAACAAAGTACTAATTTTGCTTTATGACTATCATTGTTGGGAGAAAATTCATGTCTAAAACATAAAAACTATGCTGAACTAAGAGTCGTCCTTAGAAAACGCAGCTTATTTGCTCATAAAGTATATTTGTTGAATTTAGAAAACATGTGCAAATTGATTTGCAGGTGGTAACTAGGAATTTGCTTCGGTTTATACATTTAGCTAAATAACAATCATGAAGATGTATAGAGTGCTCACCAGTTTGTGATCCGATGTGCTGAAAATCATTTGACTAAAGTCTGTGCTTGTTTACATCGATCATCAGAATGAACATGAAAAATGAGTAGAAGTATTCATGAATATAGAGCATATTATGAAATTACCGGGTTGAGATTCAGGCTCGTAACCAAGAGCTGCAACCACAACTCCTGTAACCAGATTAGCTGGAGACCAAAGTTTTGAAATCTGACTACAGAAACTCAAAGCAATACGTTGTACTTCATCTTCAAGAAAAAGTAAATCATCGTCCGATGTGAGATGAACCAAAGAGTGAGTATCAGTTGAAGAAATGCGAATGTCTGATTCAATATTTTCAATTTCTACCGCTGCAATATCATGTAGTACACTAGGTTTTAAACGCATTTCCTAGAGTGAAAACACAAAATGTTTTAGTAACGATTTGAAATAAAATTAATTCCTCCAACAATCTACCATCACTTGAGTGGTACTTCAATATTTACCGTGAAATAAACATAACCGTTTATTGGGAAAAAATCATTTTTGTTTGATATCCCATGTCAATGTTTACAATCACTAAACGAAATTATAGAAATAACCATAAACTTAAAAACTGCGTGTAAAAATAAACCAAAAAACTTTCAATACTAGAATTAGCACCTTGTAATAGCTACACTCTGAACTCCATATCAGCGAATGGAAACAGATAGGGTTTTTACCTATTTGTCTGGATACTAGGCTACCAGCTTTATATTTAAAGCTTACAAAATTATTCTATATTTTTCGAACTGAGTAACAATATAGTGTAGTGAATCGATACACAATAAATTTTATTCTTGCCATTTAGTTCATGAAACTATCTAATTATTCAGTAGTTTTGTCAAACTGTATAATAAGATGTTGGTAGTAGTATAGAAATTGTAAAGTGAATCAACAAAGAATAAATCTACTACAACAAATCTCTGAATAGGGAGAGAAAAAACTAACAATTCTTTATTAGCCTTCATTCTTTGTTCCGTTGTTAGCAGTATGTGATCATATATGCTAGTTACAATCAGTCCTCTGTTACTTAAATGTTTCTGTTATTCAATTATACAGTACGTAAAACCAGATGCACTTTTGCATCAGTTCAAGGTTCCGCACCTAATTAGCACTGAGAGATAAAGTAATCAAGACATCCTAGAATTGGTAACAGCACCTAGTAGTAGTAGCTAGTAGAAAACATTGTGTGTAAAAATTCAAGAAAAAAAGGTATAAGGACATTTTGGGACTCAGTATCTAATGGAAAAGTATGAGTGTATGCACCTGCGTCATTGTGGACGATTCTAGCTAGCCACTGACGGGATAGACAGAGAAACTTTCAGTCCATCTTTCCCTCCTTCAATCATCGGGTTTTACATTCGAATTCTACAGAATATTTTGCCTTAGTGCTCGAGTAGAACCGTAAGTCGTCATATTGTGCCCCAAAATTAGGTGTGACGAAATCTCGGCAAGATACAAAAGGCTCGACTAGCTTTTACAAACTTGCGTCATTTATATCGCAGGCGAGATATCCGTCTATCAACCAAAGTACAGATTTACTACGCAGCAATTCGTTCCGTCCTACTTTATGGCAGTGAAATATGGCCAGTAAGAGTAGAGGATATTCGTAGACTACTAGTATTTGATTATAGGTGTCTTCGAAACGTTGCTTGTATATCCTGGGACCATCGATTAAGTAACGCAGTTGTTAGGAAACGGGTACTAGCTAAGGATGGGAAATCGATTGATGAAGTGGTGAAACTTTATCAGTTGAGATGGCTGGGACACGTGTTACGTATGCCCAACGACCAACTGCCTCGACGTGCGAAGTTCAGTGGTATAGGAGTAGATTGGAAGAAAGCTAGGGGCGGCCAGACCAAAACATGGCACAAGTCCATGAAGTCACTGACAAGTGGTCTGAGTCATGTCGATAGGTGTAGACTACCTGGTTGGGGACCGCGAGATGATAGCAACCGATGGTTAGAGACCCTGAATGACATGGCTTGAAATCTTCTGCAATGGCGCAGGTGCATCCACTCTTTGTGCTCTTTCGAATTCTAATCTTCCAAACTCTTCATGTCCCTTTTTTCTCTTTCCAAATTTATTTCACTGTATTATATTCCTTGAATAACATCTTCAAACCCTAATCTTTCCGATTACTGCTTATGCTTTGACTATCTCTACCACTACGGGATCTGAATCGACAAATGCATTTCTGTGCTAATGTGGTATGGCAACTGGGGTTGATGCACGTACGTACGAAGTTCTACGTTGTTGCTGACTGCCTGGTATTTGATTATTGCTCCGGTCAGTATTAGATTCCTCCGCAAATTGCTCATGGAAATAATCAATGAATACTTTGTATAAAAATAACATCAAGAGAGGTCATAATGAAAGATCTACGCTTCTAAAGCACAATAAATAATGGTAGGAATTTTTGAAAGCAAACTTGTACCTTGAAAAGTGTGCCAATTATTATGCATTTTTCATCTCCATTTAGGTCAGCTAATGTTCGAACGGGGAAATGCGAAGCCTCAGATTTTATAGATGAAGTTGACCATCTCTGTTCAGCCAACGTTTTCAACACTGCCTTGGCTGCAGTAAGACGTGCCAAATAGATCTGGGTATATTGACGATTAAAACTGAATGAATTAGGCGTGACTTGAAATCGACCACATGTGTGGTTACTATGTTCTACTATCGACGAAATTGTCATTACTCAACCTAAACACGTGAGATGAAACGGAGTTAATTACAATTATCATACTTGTTAAACAGTAGTTAGGAAGTCAACAACCGTAACTGAAAATGTACCGGTTCACAACACCTGATGAGTCGAATCAATCCAAAATTGAACAAAGAAATCTGAACAATTTAGAGATGAAAACACGATAAGTAAATGTTAGATTCCTAAACATAATAAATAGTTTATTTACCTACAAAATATTTTTTGTAAAGAATAACCAGTAATCAGTAATCACACATATTAGCTTAACAGATTACAGGTGCTAAAAACGCTACGTAGCAATCAAGTTCTAATAAATGGTACTAAATTTTACTTCATGATGTAACAGCTGAAAGTCGACTAAATACATGTACCAGACGCTTCATAACAAACAATAGTGTTGAATAGATTAAATTACCTCGACACGAGAGACAATGGAAACTAGTAGAGTATAAGTATTCTTTTAAATTGAATATAAAAATGTATTTACAATATATAATGACTTGTCAAAATACTGGTAGCGTTGCTTTGTTATGACTGCGGACGACAGTTTCTTTCTACTTGGATAAACAGAAAAAAACTGATATGGATTGACTCAGGAAGTGTAGGATTGAAGATTTATTTATGCACCAGCCAGCAGTTTACATCTTGTACACACCTATGGGGAGTTGGAAAACCCTGATTTCAAACTAATGGTGCACATGGGCCCCAGTATCCTGAAATAACAAATGGCCTATGAACCAGTCGTTGATCACCGCCTACCAAGGGACTGCATCTCCTTACGACGCTTCACTGCCTTGTAGATTAGACCTTCAGGTCGAAGGCTTCGGATGTGGTCCCCTAAAAAAACCACCTGATTTCGTCTGGGCACACGGGCAGTATTACAACCCACACACAAATCGATTGATTTACGTGGTGCATATATATTTGATGCCTCCTTCTACCAATGTGTTTAAATAAACAAAAACTGAGCCGCGAATGAATTATCTACCCGCTGTCTCACATCATTTAACATGAAGCTTCCTAGTAGATAGTTGAGTCAGCCAATCAGCTACAATTGTAGTTACGTTAACGTAGAACCAGGCACATATATGCATCAGTTCAAGTTGCCATACCTCATTAGCACACGATGAACAATAAATTCACAGAAGCAATTACTCCAATAGTAGTAGGAAAAAACACTCCATATAGGTTTATGATACCCCTGCATCTACTACTCCAGTAAATCTCGGCTGAGACATTTTTAAACCTAAATTTGAGTACGAAGTACAATCAAAATGTGAAAAAATATATCCGCGGCAGTGGAAGTAAGTAGACATGAAAACACAGGACTTACTTATCAAGTTCACTTTAATCCCATGCAACTAAATTCAACCCTCTTTTATTTCAACAACCTTGAGTAGTCAGATTCACGCGGACATTTCCCATTTGAAGTGCTAGAGGTCAGTTAAAAGTGTGTGGGTTAGCGTAGTCTCTCAGCGTCCGGATGTCAAGGTATTCTGTTGATGTCTTAAAATCCTGAGAGTTACTTCAAAAATCACAATTTCTATCTCAACATTTCTTAGTGCATATTATGTGTGCCTTTAAAAACAAACAAGTAATGGAAAGTGGCCACAAGCAACGACATTCCGTTGTTAAGTCTGTGGTAGACAGAAAATCCAAGTCACAGAATATTCCATCAAAGTCCCGAAGCAAGACTAGACTTAATCCTATCGTGGTTGGGAAGTTTGATCTACTCGTATATTATGATGATTAATTTACTCAAATCAAACCGCTCGGATTCAAAAGAAGCCAAAGCAAAGCTTTCATAAGTTCATAGTCAAGAAATTGCAACTCAGTTGAGAGCTTTGAATACGATTTTCAAAGAAGTCAAATCCGTTCCCAGTTTTATTATTTGTAATCTGGAGGAGTCAAGAGTTAACGACCCTTCCTAAGGGCATGAACACGATTCGGAGTTAGTAGAATCTGCTATCAGAAATGCAAAAAGGGGTTTCAGGAGTACATATTACTGAAGTAATAAGACTCAGATAGCGGAATGAAATGAAACTCCATGAAGAAGTATCTTGAAGTTAGTACTCGGAAGATATGAAGCAGGGGACGTTATGGAAAATAACGCATACAAAACTCGCTATCTATGTATTAGTATCTGACCAGATTGGTCACTTGAGAATCAAATCAAGTGGAAGAATGTCCCTACCGAGTTAAAAACTCGGAAGCAAGATGACGAAACATATCTTAAGATTCACGGTTTTTGAGTAGCCAGGTCATGGATGTCAATGATTCCGAGACTTGTAAGGGCAGAATGAGTGGTTCTCAGAACATCATAAATGTACGCTACAAAAACGCTTGTATTCTTAGAAATAAAATGTCCAAGCTTGGTCTGACGATGAATGAATTTGGTGTTTGTATAGACTAATTATTATTTTGTACTTGATTTCTGGTTGAGTTCGAATCCTAAATACAATTTGTTCGCTTGTGCTCACCTAGTTCTGTTTGGCATAAATCTCACCGTTCCGGTGAATACCAGTTCATAAAATAATTTGAATACTTCTAATTATCATAGTTAATTAGGTTCCCATATAATTGTTATCACAAAAACATGACTCATTGTGGATATAGACTTTTGTCCAACCATTGAACGTCACATCTGTATTAGAAATGATATAGTAATAAAGTGTAAAGGTAAAGACATAATACTATATTTCAGAGGTCACTTTCCCGTACAGTCGAGCATATCAGAGGCGCATGATTGTGGCACATACTAGGTAGCTTGTTGCATGATTGTGGGTTAGTGACTGAATAAGTAATAAACTGTAGGCCACACTGTCTTGTTAACGGCTTTTCCTTTAGTCATATCTGTTCTCAGAGTAAGGCCGATAACTGCCTCATCGTCGGAGATTTCAGTGAGCTGCATACCAACTAGATGGAGCTTGCAAATTCAGGTGGATGTTTTAACAGAGGCCGGCTGTCAATCATTATTCGATGAGCGATGGTATGATGCATCGCAAAACTCACATTTATTGAATTACAGTCGAATCGTCCTTGTTGCTGCTCAACCCCATCTCATTATCTGGTGGGCTAGCATTCCCTTAATCAGAGTCTTTGTCATCTGTCACTGCAGATTGATCGATCGAAGACGAATGGAATAAGTTTGGAGCCACATCCGAGTCTGTAACTTTGCCATTCATACCATGGTCAAAATTTGGGCTATTACGTTGCTCACATGGATCAATAAGGAAACTCAAAAGTTGCTGATGCGTAGAAAACACTAATGTGACTTGTTTTTTATCTACAGACCACTGATCATTAAAGCATGAATACCGAAAAATATGAAATATATATGTAAATAGCACAAATAGATGGCATATCACATAGGAAAGATTGTTAGCACATGATAGACACACTCCCCTAAAACAATTGTTGTCGCATATTAAACGAAGAAAAAAGCGTAGTAATGGTGTTCCGCCACGAAAACTCAGGTATGCCAGCTGAATAAAATCTGGCCGATGCTGAGTTTTTATCAGACTACTTCAGTTACGTCTACTCCGCGAGTATTGTCAACATTACTTGTCATAACTACATCACTGCGACACTAGCTATGGGACTTGTGCACATGACTAATGAAACTGTTCTTCGATTGATCATCGACCTCAGATTTAATCAGTGGATGGCTCCTGATAACTTACGTTCATGATAACTATCACTATTCGAGCACATTATTTCGGAAAAAATCATATGTCACTTTTGTTAACCCAACTCCGTGGGAGTTGGGAGGATGCTATGAATAACTCTATATCTGATTATAGAGAGACCGTGTGTAACTATCGACTTGTCACTCTAACCAGCACAGAGGTTAAGTTACTAAGTCGCACAGAATCACACAATCTGTCAACGCTCGAGTAATATGGGTTTCAGGATAGGCATCATGCTTAACCAACTTACTAATTCCGAGAGACGATTGGACAGAAACCCAATATTATGGTTTACCTCTTGATATGATATCCATGGATTTCACCAAAGCATATGATAAGGTTTCCTACTTGAGGCTTATGCAGGAGCTATTGAGCTTTGGAATAATGGGTGTTGTACAATAATGGATGAGGAAATTCATCTGTAGCTGAAGACGATGTGAGGATAAATGGTAAGTCGATCAAAAGTGGCCTACTACAAGTCATCACCTTGAAACACCTACTTATTATCTATGTCAATAAATATCGGAAACTGCATTAGTTATCGATGCCTTTTATAACAGACGATGCCGAAATCTGGAGAACAATAAGCAGTGAGACAGGTCGTCTTGATCTCCAAACTGACCCGGGCGAATTGGTCAGATGGTCTCAAATTGATGGCCCGGAAATCAATTCTATAAATAGTGTACTAATGCCCATAGGAACCGGTATGCTGTTGGCGGTAAATCACTTCCATGAGTGCAGGAATACAAAGATTTAGGGGTGGCAGTTAGTCACGGCTCATCAACTACTGCACAGCTGCCGAATGTTTTGGTGCATAATGGTCACTTCACCGAGCATCCGAATACTTTGAGGAGGAGACGGTTTGAAGTTTATATACCGCCTATGTAAGATGACAATTACAGTACTTTCCTCAAAAAGCCAGTTCATGTCTTGATGAAGACAATAATATACTTGAGCATGTTTAACATGTGAGGACACAGTTAGTGAATGGTCTTTCTAAACTCCCTTACAATGGGCGTTTAAGACGCCCGATTCTCTTCTCCCTACTGCGTCGTAGAAAACCGTAGATTGGGATTCCATATCCTGAATAACGATTTAGGTGTTAGTATGTCTTATCTTTTTTCTCCATCCAGAACTGATAATCTCTAACGCTATAACGAGGTAAAGAAATAGCGATTTCATAAGACGAGATTGGGGTTCCGTTCTTCTCATCGTGTAGTTAATAACTGAAAGTTCTCGCCCGAACAAGTGGTACCGACTTCATCAGTCAATATTTTCAGGGAGGATCTGGACCTTCATTATAAAACAATCTGGAAGGATTACCACAGGTACATCAACTTATTAACCTTATTACTGAAGACCGAATTTTTTTCTGTTTCTTGCATCGTAACTGTCGGTCTGAAAACTAATTTCGCACTAATTTTTTTGAAAACTTTGTTAGGCTCAGGAAAAGATTTAGAACTAATAGAAAGCATCACACATAACGTTAGAGGCTGAACCAGCATAGATGTGTAAATCTAACAATCGGTGCACTGCAGACTTGAATAGACCATTTAAAATAGTCCGCTGCAACTTTCTAAAATGGATCCTAGATGAAGCAGCCACATTTTGAAACACTCGTGTTGATTCTAGCTTATGACTATCATCCAAAGATGCCATGGATATCCAGATAGGTAATATTACATTTGTAAGAGTGAGGCGAATATGACTAATCAGTTCGTCGTGGCAATACCCAGTCGGTCATCTATAAACATCGAGCAGGATTCCTCTTAGAAACTCATTTAAACCAATTTAGTTTCTCTCAGTCAATATTAAACACCCCTAAGAAGAAAGTTCTAAACTTCCAAAGTGGTGATAGATTACTAAATCAAGTAGGCCAAATTTTTAAGAGCATTTGAACAAGATTTTTAATGTTTACCACCAGCCAGCTTATTGTAAAGTTGCGATGGGTCTGACACTGGGTGTTTTCTCGCAAGTCAGATGACTTGACCCACAGACGAGTTAATAGGGTGTCTGGAGATCACATCCAAATCATCAAAATATAATTTAGCAAAAGAAATATCCTGTAAAATGCAGCTGGTCTAAAGCTTCTTTTGAAACCTTTTAGTGTTCTTTTTAATAACCCTATTGAGTTAGTACTTATTTTGCAGTTTCACATACCATCGACTATGCTTGTAAAACAATATGTTCCTTGTTGGCTGGAAATATACATTGTTAATCCTATTGCACTAAATGGTTAATCTTGGATTGTGGAGGTTAGCAATGTATTTTTATTGGTAGTAAAGATAAATAAACCACTTTGACCATCTATGTAGATAATTGATACAGAAAATGCCTTATCTTTGCTCTGTACTTAGCAGCTACTTCCACTGAAATTTCGGTTTGATCTGTTGAAAAATATCGGTACATAGAATATAGGACAGATAACAAAGCGCTTAACAACAGCACATAAATTTAAGCGTAAAACACTAGCATAAGCGTCTCTTCAGGGCAAACATAGTGATAAGTAAAAGGAAAAAATGAGGTGAAGAAATATTTGGGACGAGGTGATATAGTACTAATATGGCATTCAAAAATCATATAATTCTAAACATTGTAAAAGTTAACACCATTCTCATAACATTGCATGCGCTGGGATCTTTTAATATATACTTTTCCGGTGGCAATAATCTTCTGCCTTACTTTGGATGTAAGGTTTCTATTCTCAGCAGTTTCGTTTTTTCCTAAACTTGGG